ATTTAAATTTAATTTAAATCGAATTTTGTCTCTGATTCAAATCTCGGACACGAGTTCCCAATTTATTATGTTACGTATTGAGATTTGAAATAATCTGAAGCCAAGTTAAATAATTTAAATTCTAAGAGTTGAAATGTACCCTGGATTTAGTGTTTAGAAATATGCCAATATTTTATTTAATTTACGCTATTTGCCAACAAGATTGATTCACACTGTATTTGCTTTTGACACAAATACGTTTTAATATATATACAACATTATAATTTACAATAGCAACTATTATGATTAATTATTACAAACCAAGTTTCATAAACAGAAATTTCACTAACTTACAAATAACCTAAAATCGTTTTCCTAGTTCAGAATCTCCTTGATATCCAGCGAGTTAACTTGAAGTCGATGTACGTACAATTGTCTGGAAGCTAGCTAGCTTTCTCAGACACTGAATTGTTAGACCATTGGAGTAAAATAATATTTTCCTAAAATCACTAATGTCCGATGAAAAACCAGCAATATTTTTTGGAAAGCTACTAACATTTGATGAGAATTTACTGACGTTCGAAATTTATAGCTGTTCCTGGTCAAATGTCGTATATTTTCCGGTTGATAAGGGTTAGCAAAATCACGGTTTATAGCGTACACACAGTAATAACAGTTTCCTAGCAGTCTTAATTGTTTCTTCTTTGGTCTTGGTCTTTTTATACGAGCGGGCAATGCTCTTCTCGAACGTTCGGACAATACTGGTTATGGAAGTGGATATATTGTTGATTCTTGTGTTCACGAATATTCTACAACCTTGGAGAATTGGCAGAAGTTTCGCCATACGTAACTAACACAGTAAGCTAGACACGCCCTCAAATATAAACTTATTTGAAACAAACGTTGACATTAAAATAAATATGTAACAAATTCGTTATAAGTAACACATATCTTATACTATAAGTCACGCATATTTCTAAATAAATTCAATCCAAACAACGTTCATATTAAAAATAAACACAGAACAATAAATTCTTACATGTAAACTGCAGTGTTTTCCCCCACATTCTTCTTAATTTGTCCATTTCAAATATCAATGAGCTAAATGCACGAACCTATTTCTCTATTTCAACTTGTACCGTCTATAAGATAAATATAGAATACATCATTGTTAAAGGTGTGGCGATACAGCGATAAGATAGGAGTATCGTATCGTGGAGCCGTGATACGATTGTATCGATACATCGTCCGATACGATACATGTATCTTGACGAAATTTGACAACATTTCAGTAAACATTATAAGTCTTTTGTACAGAAAAAATCTGAAATTCGATTAAAGTATATTTGCTAAAAATTAATGATTCAATAAAGAAAGGTGAGTATTGAGTACTACATGTTGTCTTCATTTTTTAAAATCAAAAACACTACATGCAAAGTAACATAACAAATTAACAATAACATAATAGATAGACAGATATTAACTTTTTTATTTCACTTCTCTTGCCAGTTTACATTTAGTTGATCAAACCTGAGAATTTGAAAAAGCACTGTAAAGTGTGAAGTACTTTAATATGACAATGTTAGTAATGTAGATAATAAATTATAGACGAAACTGTCAAACTTTGTAACAAACCTTTGGTAAAACTTCTGTATCTACTAGATACTATCGTATCGACTACTATGATGACATACCCACCCCTAGTGTATATCCATAAAACAAGAAAAAAAAATTAAAACGTGCACAGAACTCCAGAAAATAGTTTGTCAGGGCATAAAAGTTTTCTACGCGTTCTTTGTAAAAAATAATTAGTTGTCGCGAAGCATTTATGTAGAGATTTTATGCCCTGATGAAACTACGATTTAAACAGCTGTGACAGTGTGTAGTTTTGCAACAACCCTCAGCCTACTAATAGCAGGTAACATTATCACACAGTTACACAGAAATAATAAGCAAATTTTGAGATATCGCCAAAACAATAAATTACGAAATCATAAATTAAAACTGGGATACTGTCTTTTTCTTTCCATAAAATATATATGAACTAGTCGGGCATTATCACAGAGGGCCACATGAAGTGTACACATAACTAACAACATATTGAACTAGAGGGGGCACTGGGTGGGACATGTACCTCCACCACGCAGCGTTGATCCATATTCGGCACTCAAAAAATACGAAAATGTGTTCGTATATCCGTCGTTATCAATGAACACGGACCATTTTCGGCAGGACAATGAAGAATAATATTCTACATGTTTCCACCAAGTTTAATCGAAATCCGATCGTTTTTCACTGAGTTATAGAGCAAAAATGATGTGAAAATTTGGTCCCCCATGTCAACAGATAGGAATTTTTTGTATTTTCGTGATACAAACTTTCGTCTAAATCCATTCAACCTTTTTTGAGAAATCTTGCTTACAAACACACAGGCGTGAAAACAACCTCCGTCCACCTTCGGTGGCAGAGGTAAGAACAGTTTATCAAGGTCCTGGTTTAACACAGTCCACAATAACAGGTAACCAAGGCCCTGGTTTAAAATAGACCATAACTGGAAGGGCACTCAGTGGAGCGTATACCTCCGCCACGCAGCTTTGATCATATTCGGCTCTCAATGAGTAAGAAAATGTGTCCGTCGTTATCAACGAACACGAATCATATCTGGCTGGATAGTGAAGAATAATATTCTACATATGTCCACCAATTTTCATCAAGTGTGTGTTTGTTAGCAAGATTTTTCAAAAAAATCTGAATGAATTTGGACGAAAGTTGGTATTATTTGGACTATGACCCACCTTAAGGGTGTTTAGTTTTTGGAGGGTCAAGGTTACGAAAATACAAAAAATCCCTATCTGTTAACATGGGGATCAATTTTTCACATTATGTTTCCTCTATAACTCAGTCAAAAATGATCGGATTTTGGTTAAACTTGATGGACATAAGTAGAATGTTATTCCTCATTATCCTGCATACGGACACATTTTCTTACTTATTGGGAGCCAAATATAATTAACGCTGCATGGCGGAGGTATGCGCTCTTCTGAGTGCCCGTTTCTGTTTGTTTTGGTAGAATGTATATGGGTTTAATTCGTCTTAATGTTGGTTTAATAACCCTTGAAACCATTGTAACCGATAAAGAGTGAGTGACCGAAACTAAAACAACGTGCAAGGGTTTTTGATTAATTTTTAAATTACTGAAAAGAAGTTATCAAAGAAAACTTTGTTTACTTATTTTAAATTTCATACAAAACTTCAAAGGGGTTATCTGCGCATAGCCGTCCCTAAATTTGAGCCTGTTTTTATTCTTTATTAATATAAAAATATCATATTTCAATCTGAAAAGTGCACCTTATGCAACACGTGTTAAACGAGTCATATCAAAATATCCAAGGTCCAGGTAAAATCATACGAAATTTAGAACTACTCATTAGATGGTGGCAACCAGTAAGCAACACTTGCCGTCTACATGACTAATCTTAACAAAATAGTGAGTTTGATTACAACGCTTGTAACACCAAAGATAAAACTGCGCCGCATATTATTAAGCATATCTCATCTCTAGCCTTGGATTTTACATTATGCCGCCTAGTAAGCTAACTATTATGCCCTTTAGTAAAGAAAACAAATCAAAGGCAAATAAGTTTCTTTTCTTTGTTATTTCACAAACTTTATAACTGTAAAGTTGACAGCATTCATGACCTGGATAATTCCAACCACTAAGGAATATTTTTCTTGTAAAAGTAACATTTCCTCTTGTTATGGTAAAAAAAAAAGAAAGAGAATAATTATTATTAAGTTTGGTTCTTGAAAAATTATCATTTTCATCAATTTCTCGTTACTTCTATATATCACTAAGTAAGAATTTCGCACAAAGCTAAACGAGGACTACCTGCGCTAGCCAGCCATACTTCTGAAGTGATGGATAAGAAGGAAGACAACTAGTCAACACCACCTACAGCCAACTCTTGTCAGATCGAATAGTGGGATATGACTGTCACTCTTGTAACAAATACACAGTCTCAAAGTATGTTTCACGATATATACATGTGTGTGTGATATTTAAGTTACATAATTATACCTGAATCATAATAAAAGATAAATTGCACTAAAGTATTTCTATTTAATGCAAATACCACTGTCCCTAATTTGGAACTACTGATTAGAGGGAAGGCAGCCAGTCAGCAGCATCCTTCCGGAAACCCACCACCGAAACTAAGGGTTTGACTATCATTTTGGTAATACATCTGCAGCTTAAAGCACGGGAAATATTTTGTGGTATTGCATGTATTCAACTATAATTTGGAACTACTGATTAGAGGGAAGGCAGCCAGTCAGCAGCATCCTTCCGGAAACCCACCACCGAAACTAAGGGTTTGACTATCATTTTGATAATACATCTGCAGCTTAAAGCACGGGAAATATTTTGTGGTATTGCATGTATTCGACTATAATTTGACAACTCCTTAATTTAAAACTCTATCAAAGAGCCAGACTATGACCTAAATGCACAAAAAAAAGGAGACATTTTGATATATTCAGAACAATTACCCAAGTAGTACGTATTTTTAGACTTAATAACTATATAATTTCATTTTAACAATTCTCTGGTAAAACACAAAAAAAAACGTTATGATGAAATTTGGTCCGTGGAAAATTACTGATGCCAATGTCCACCATTTCAAATTTCGTTATATATATATGATTTCCTGTCTAATTTACCCACATATTTATATGTATGGATTGTGTTTTATAATGTTTATAAACTAATACAATACTTTTTCATCGCAAATAACGTGTCACCAAAATAGCGCACGGAGATTTTAACTTTATAAGTGAAGAATTACGTTTTGTAATTTCAGTAGTGCACTTAATGAAATAACCTTACATTAATTACATAAGTGTACTATTTTTGACATTATATTACATATGCAACTATGTTCGGAGCTATATTTCAAAAACAAGTTTTTTTTTTAAGAAATGTGAACTCCTAGTACTTTTTAAAAAATAAGTCACTAATAATATTTACAAGTCATATTTTATTTCACTCGCAATCAATCATACATATGAAAAATAATTTACTTCTTTCGCATTTCAACTATATAAAAGCATACTATGGTGTACATATGTAAACATAACAAAATTAAGAATTTTTTGCTGTTGGCCTAAAACATCAATAAAGGTTTGCGGTTGGTGCCATCTAGTGGTAAAGACTGTACATTCTGTGATTGGGTGAGGAAAACCTCATTATCTGAATTTCAATATAACATCACTTCATTTCTGTAAAAGTATACTTTAAAATGTAAAAAACGCATAAGATCATGCTGAATAAAACACAAAATATATTTTACTTCAACTATCTATATATATTTTTTATTTATGATAATACAAACTACAGAAATGTTATGCCTAAAACAAAACTCATGAAGTATATTTACGTGTATAACACAAGTACTGTTGTTTATTATATATCAAATGAATAGGAGAATAAAAACAACAAATAGAAACACTACAGCAAACATTGTTATCACACAGTCAAAGCTCTATACTAAGAATGGAATTAAACTAAACGTATCTTAATTTTAATTGAAGCCAAAATATTGATGAAGCTTAGCAAAAATAGCTTCTGGTCTCTCCAATTTCAACTTTTCTTTCTGTTACTCTGAGAAATGCTTTACCCAGTTTGGGCAAAAGCTTGCTTCAACAAAAACCCTGAGTCTCTGAGAATGTTTCCTTAATTTACATTTTACATATTAGGTACTAAATTTAGGTCTTTTGATCATTTGATTGCTTCTTACAGGCTTCTACAATTAACTCCGGTGTTTTGTAGAGCTGGCTAATGACAACCTGAAACAACAAAGTAGGAAAGAGAGTATAAACCTGTATATGAGATATTATAATTTATACAATAAATTACTTCACTTTTGGAAAATATGTAATTCTGTGATAATCAATTATTGTTCAACAACCTCCAATATCTTCACGTTATGTAACACTTAAACTGTGAAGGGTGGGAATTACCTTGACTGGTACTTGAAACCTAATCATAAGTTTCAATCATTTACTTTAGTGTCTTAACACTAACAAATATGAACAGCTCATCTTCAAAAGATATTAAGAAATCAACAACTTTACTAAAATGTTGTTGTATATTCAAATTACACTTAAGTACTTAATATTTTCAGGGCAAACAGTCAGCAGCATTACATTCATTGAGAGCATGGTTCGAAATGCTAGAATATAAAGATGGTTTGAAATTTGAATGTTATTGTATGTGAATTTGAAGCCTCCAAAATACACAAAGGGCATTTACAATGATTTCAATGTGGTGCCCCTATTTGTCTTTTTGAAAAAGAAAAAAAAAAGTTATGGCTTCATTAGTCAATTGATACAGTGTTCCTCAGATTATGGTATATAAAAGAAGGTAATAATTGGCACCAGTGGACTTCCCACTAGTCAGCAGTTCAAAATGAAAAAGAATTAAAAAATGTTCATAGTGGGTGGTGTCAGACAGATGCCTTCCCTCTAGTTAACAGCTCATAGTTGGTCACAATGGCAGATAGCTTTATTAGCTTTACCATTAGAAAGACAGGGCAAGCAGATTTGGTCACAATGGAAGTTTAGTTGGAATAATCAAAATTACTAATAACTTTAAACCCTCATTTCAATTATTTGATTATTTTCTTGACAACTAGCATAATCAGAATATCAGTTAACTTATTTTTGCAATGAATGAAAATAGTATTAAACATAAACTAATTTGGATTAGTTGATCATTGCAATAATCAAAAACAGTAATAATCAAATTCTAGTTTTGATTAATTAACTAGTTTACGTACAATCACTGACACTATCCAATGTAATTACTGCTCATGGGTAAATGATTAAATCACCCAGCTCTAGACACATGCCTATGTGGAAGAGTTTGAACACAGGCCAACACTTTCATATTTTTGAAGAACATGTACAGTAGAAGAACTGCAAATTAAAAGTTTTCCTGAAAATGTTTGTTAAATGTATAGTGACCTGGCTGTCAATATTTAATTTTTCAAGAATTAAATAATTCTAACAGTAGCTGTTGACCAGTTTTCTAAGAAAAAAAAAGATTCAAAAGATTCAAACAATAAAAGTTTAAACAAAAAAAGGGGGGCTTGAAAAAATAAAATAATTCTGCCATTAAAGAAAGACAAATTGTTCTAAGTTGAATGTACACTCATGTTAGACTTAAACTAATAAACATCAGAAACTATGTTACAAAAGAAAGGCATTTACTGACAGGAGATAAGGATACTCTGTTTTTAATATATGTGGTAGAAAATGAGTTGGAGTAATAGATAGCTGATGAAATATTAGACAACAAAGGTGTTATTACAAGTATTGCCAGCAAAAATGATAACAATTAAGTAAAGTTACTTATCGAAATGGAAAAGGTTTTCTTTCTGCAAAATAAGGTCGGTAGAGCTATCTTAATAACAGATTATATCTGTTCATTTGTGAAGCTGCTTTGCAAAGATCATCAGGAATACTACAGTAGATTTGTATAACAGATGTTACTATATATGAGAAATCTTATCAAGTCACAATATGAATATTTAAACTACTTTTTGTAAAGGATACAAAATATTTTGCAAAAAACTTTCTCCCATTAGAACATATATGCAAAAAAAAAGGTAATACACCAACAAAAATGACATATATTTACTATACAACTACATGTTAACCATTTCAAGTAAATCAATTCTAGGAAAATTAAATACCTGATAGCAAAAAATAACCATCATATTTGAAAACACACTACATATTATATCCAACAATGATATACCAGATAAATACATGTATAACAAGTCATATTCATACAATTATTGGCAAACAATGTAATAACGGTAGTTTAAGGTGAATGAAAATTCCAGAAACCTGAATATTCTGTATAAATAATAGATGCTCAAATAACTTCAAAAGTAACAACTTATTTTCAACTTTGACACGTTTCTTTTCATGTTTCTTTTATTATCATACAAGTACATATAAAAAAATGCTTGTGAAATTAATGCTACAACAGTAATGGTTAAATTATAAAACCCGAAATCATAATAATTTTACTGTTTTTTACTGAAAGCAATTAAAATAAAAAGCATTCTTTAATACCAGCCTGTACTGTAGCTAGAGAAAATGCAGATGTCATGAATTAACTTCAGTAATCTAAAGTAATTAAAAAAAAACAGGAACAAAAAATCTAACAAGCTACATATACACTGTAAATACAGATCAAATTTAACTTTTGAATATTTCAAAGTTTCAAGATCCTCTAGCATATTTTAGCAAAGTAAGAATATTAACTGATTATGAATATTTGACACAATGATACATTAGCAACTGTCAGCCACCACAACTGTTACTAATAACTATTAGAGTACAGACAAATGATGCAGTGACACAGTAGTCTGTGACTTACTTTCACCATAAACTTTTACTTATATTTTCCAAATTATTGAAAGATGTTAAGCTACAGTTTATGTTAAATGAACAAATTAAAATATATTATATAGAATTCTTAACATCTTTATTCAACCTAAAATGATCAGCCACACATCTGTTTCTTGTCAGTTTGCATCATATTATTGCAATATAAAATATATTCAGAGGTGCTTTTCTTCAATAAATACCAATTTTTTCATATTATCTAGCACTGTGATACTATTCATTCTTATTAAACAAGTCAATCATTATGACATAAACAATACATTTCTGAAATGAATCTTTTAAGATATATCATAAACGTTATTAATATATTGATCTTAATTATACTTATAAAGTTTCTACAATATACAATGAATGGGTTAAATGGTAAAAACCATGGTTAAAAATAACAGTAGGAGCTAGAAATACATCATATAATATTTAAAACAGCCATTTTAAGCATCACATAATAACATAACCATTACCCTACTATCAAATCTCTACTTATAATCATGCACATTGGCTTGCATAGCTTTTTGAGAAATACAATACACAAGCAAAATATTTATAATAAATTGTAAGTGATAAAATTACAAAACCAGTTGCTACAGTGGGTTAAAAGGAATATACGTTATTCATGTTACATTTTGGTCACCAGTGCAACAAAAGTTTGAGTTATGTATGGAAGAATATTGAATGTAAGTCTCAACGGGACATGTTTTTGTTGTACAATTCATTACTTATACTTCTTTGGAAGTATTGTATGCAGTTTTAGTCCCTTTATCTTAGGCAGTTCATTGAGTATTTTGAGAGGTTTAATGGAGAGCTACTAGGATGAGTTAAGGGATGGATGGATTGTTATGTGAGGACAGGTTGAGACCTCTAATCCCTTAACTTGTTTTCTCTCTCTCTTGAAATGAGAAGGATCAGGGGTGCTCATATTGAAGTAATAAATATGTGAAATGAACTGTTAAGATTTGTGACAAGAGATCATAAATGTAAGATATAAAAAAGTTTGACATATTTCTAGTTGAGACAGTTTTATTTCTCTTATTAGGCAGCAAATACATGGAACAAATTACTGTTCAGTGGCAGAGGCTGTAACTTTACAGGACTTGAAGGAAAGAACTGATGAATATTTGTGGATTTAGTGATTAGTTTTATATTTGTTGAGAGAGGATGAGAGCTAGGTTAGCCTTCATGGTCAAAAAGTGACTTGATGTCCGGTAATATTATGTTATATGTTATTGTTAGTATTACAAAATTATTCATAGAAAATTACTTTAAGAATATTTTTTGTGAACATACCATTCATAATTAACACCTGCCATATTAGCCAGATCAGCATCCTGACGTGGATCAATAAAAAAAACATTCTGGAAAAGATTGGGTTGTTTTGATTAGACATTTGGCACTATTTTCGAGGTTTAAGTTGCTGGACCAGACCTGTGACTCGACCAAGACCATGACAGCCAAGATGAAGAAATTAACTTGTAATACAAAATGATGTAGCAATGAAACATACTTGAAATGTTCTAGATGTAGTTGTGAACACGATGGCTTAAATGTAGTGATTAAACTAAACTGTGGGTCCAGGTCGGATGAGGGAAGAACATATTTGAAGATATCCCAATTGATCTGATATATCATATGAACAGGAGATTTGTCAGTTGATTACTGCATTGACACCAAAACTTAAATAAGTGGGCACAACAGTATCGTTATCTTCAAAAATGGAGATTTGAATCATATATGAGGCCCAAAGATGCACAATGAACTCCAAGATGATTTCCCTAGCAATTCTAAAATTAAATATGCCATTTTTGCAATGGAAAGTAAATATAATAAGGATGGTATAATGCCTAGTATGGTACTATCATAGTATAATCCATATATATTTCATCATGTCATATTTTAATAAACATTTAATAGTTGTTTTTGTTTTAGAATTTGTACTAGGCTATATTCATCAAAATAACCCTAAATCACCAGTTTCCAAAATGACCCTCCCCTGGTGACTGTACTAGGCTCACTATTAAACGTTTTTAAGATGTTTTGTAAGTATACAACTCATAATTAAAATATTCTTATGAACATACAGTTGTTGTATAAACAATTTTGTAAATTTGGGCTAGCAAAGGAGCATACATTTAAGAATGTAAGCTTTCACCTAGCTTTATCAGGATTCTTTCAGGGATGAGTAATCAGAAACCTTTTCAGCAAGGAAAAGGATTAAAAATGTTTGGTTGCAACAAGTTAGTTGGGAAAACGTTGTAATTGGTTTAAAAGTATGAATGAGTTTTTGTGTGATACAGGTTTGATTTAAGCAGTTGGATTCGATGCCTTTTAGAAACTAAGTGACTCCACTGGGAATGCTTAATTGTGAGAGA